TTTGGAGTTCAAGTCCAATTATAATTTGCATAGTTAACGATTGAGTAGTAACATATTGACATAACATTTCAATTTTTTTCGTCTGTAATTGTAGCTGTAATTAGTTCTGACTGACGCACCTGACAAATGAGTCATAGTGCAAGGGGTTAATAAGGTCACCCTTCTGCAAGACTTGACTCTCACCTCACGAAAATTAAAAGAATAATAACCTCAACAGAATTCAGTAAACTTTTCGACTACTAAAATTTGAACCTTGCAAAATTGAAACTTTGCACAATTTGAAACTTTGCAAAATTTAAACCTTGCAAAATTTAAACTTTGCAAAATTTGAACCTTGCAAAATTTAAACTTTGCAAAATTAAAACTTTGCAAAATTGAAACCTTGCAAAATTGAAACCTTGCAAAATTGAAACTTTGCAAAATTGAAACCTTGCAAAATTGAAACCTTGCAAAATTGAAACTGTGCAAAATTTAAACCTTGCAAAATTAAAACTTTGCAAAATTTGAACCTTGCAAAATTGAAACTTTGCAAAATTAGAACCTCTCAAAATTAAAACCTTGCAAAATTGAAACTTTGCAAAATTTGAACCTTGCAAAATTGAAACTTTGCAAAATTTAAACCTAGCAAAATTGAAACTTTGCAAAATTAGAACCTCTCAAAATTAAAACTTTGCAAAATTTAAACCTTGCAAAATTGAAACTTTGCAAAATTGAAACTGCAAAATTTGAACCTTGCAAAATTTGAACCTTGCAAAATTTAAACTTTGCAAAATTGAACCTTGCAAAATTAAAACCTTGCAAAATTTAAACCTTGCAAAATTTAAACCTTGCAAAATTTAAACTTTGCAAAATTAAAACCTTGCAAAATTGAAACTTTGCAAAATTAGAACCTCTCAAAATTAAAACTTTGCAAAATTTAAACCTTGCAAAATTGAGACTGCAAAATTGAAACTTTGCAAAATTTAAACCTTGCAAAATTTAAACCTTGCAAAATTTAAACCTTGCAAAATTAAAACTTTGCAAAATTGAACCTTGCAAAATTAAAACTTTGCAAAATTGAACCTTGCAAAATTGAAACTTAGCAAACCGTAAAGTGAAAATATCAGTTAACGTAACAGGGCAGTATGCGATAAACTTGTAAATATAGAAAGAAACAAGGTGGCCATGGAACAGACGGATTGCATTGTATAGGTTGTTCTTTGGTCGACCCGCTGTTCCTGGCAACGATCCAGCGTCGTTTTAAAGGCGAGTAGGGGACAACGTGTGAAAAACGCTTCCTCGATAGATAGGGGTGCCTTTATTTACACCCCATGTAGCCGGGTGGTCCGGAAGCGAATAAATCGAGAAGCACCCTCGTGGCATACTTTTTTCTTTCTATCCGTCACTATCCCTGATTCTTTTACGCTCTTCTCTGTCATTTATTTTAACAACGTCTTACACGGAACTTTTTTTGCCCTGCGCGATAAATCGCATAAATCATTCGCGTTCCTCGGGAGCTTAAAGCGTCTTTTGATGAAGATAACGTTCAAAGAAATTCTGACGTCGAGGTAAGTTTAAACCCGTTGATGAGTTTGTGCACAACGATGCAAAACAGCCTTTTCGATTCATAGTCTAATGGAGCGATGGACTTTTAAATAAAAAGCGTTTAATGTACAGCATTCGACGATGTAAATGGCGGGTAAGCGTTGTTTGTGTAAAGGTGCTCGTTCGATTAGCATTCTTCACCGAGACGTGTGGTCTCGCTCCTTTAACAGATAGAACTTTATATTTGAAACAAAAGAAGATTTGTATCGGTGACAAAAGAAAACTTCTTCTTCGGGAATTCTTTATATTCTCACGAAATTCGCAGTCATAATCTGGTTCTGAGAAGCCCATTAATTCAGACCCAAATTATGCTAAACGAACTGGACTCGATCCAGACGGGTGTCATCAATTTGCTCCCTCTTTCCTCGAACTAATTATCCTCTATCGAGCTCTTACCACGGAAATTAATGTCTCGTATACCTGAGATCAATCAAAAGAGAATACGAGGTTTGTAAGACGGAAACATTACCATTCTGGATGAAAAACAAGTCAACGGTCAGTGATCCTTTGCTAGTTTGCGGGTTAATCCTGTCTCGTTTCGTTCCAGTCTTCTGTATATACGTTCGAATTTACTTGTGCTTATAGCTCTCTGAACATTTCTTAATATGTGGATAAAATAAAAGAAGATTTTTGTTGATTTTAATCTGGTCAATTACATAAACTTGAAAGATATAAATATTTAGTTCTTAAATAAATAATATTGCAGTGTTGCAGCATAATTATATTTTTATAACTGTTTAAAAATATTTCAGACTATGAGTAGACACATGTGCATGTTACAGAAGTGTAACATATGAAATATACATTTTTCTAAATTGTATAATTAACTACTAAATAAACTGTATTGATCAGATCTCATTTTTTCCTCCAACAAAAATAATGCACAAGGTTAATTTTTCCAATAGTACTCTTAATTGATTAAAATCGAATACGTTCAAATTTTGTGCAAACACGGTATATTTATATTGTATAAAAGCTTCCGCAACCACTCTCTATTTTCTTTCGAATAATTGCTTCGTTATTTACCAACTATTGCTTCGTTATTTATTTTAGTCAATTCTTGTTTACGTATTTACTGCATCTGTATTTTCTTTCCATAAGTTTCAGTCTATTTACACGGTAAGCTTCTTTACACCCAGTTTGTCTTTCGGTTAATAATAACTGTAATCGATCCATGAATATTTACGCTGCATATTAATCTAAACAAAAGGTAGTCGCGGAATATTCCCAAGCTATTCAGAACCGATCGAACGTAACTCGAACGGACCGCAACAATGAAAGTAATCTGATTTTCAAACGGATTGTGCCACCATAATGCTGGTAAATCAGCTCGAAGTTTCCTCGATAATTCGTAATCCTGTTAATCACCGCCTTGGTAACTGTCGCTTCGAGACGTTCATCCGCGTGTTCGATATCTCGAGAACCACGAAGAATTTCGATAGCAAAGGATCCGGGTCAGTGCGTTTAAAAAATGGCGGACGATGCGAAATCGCGACCACCACGGCGTGCAAAAGGATGTATTTTTTCGCGACGATAATTACGAGCGAACCTTCTGTCTTCTTCCGTCGTTCCTCTCGTTTCTTTTATTACGAGCCCAGCATTGTGCGAGCGGACGGCATTGTCTCGAGAGGAATCCTTTTGTCGGCCGTTTAGCAAGTTGGCCGACCTGCACGCGTTCCCTACGTCTTAATTGTGGGTCAATTTCGTGAAAGGAAGCGTCTGGAACCTTTTAAAAATTTTTAATCCACCTCGAACACAAATTGCGAATTTTTCAAAACCGTATTTGGTTTATGACATACATTGGAAAGCTAGTAGTAGATAATTAAACGACTGAGGGTCGCCTCTCGCAAAGGGTTGTCTTATTAATTTTAAAAATCCATCGTTAATTTCTACAAAAAAAAAATTAATATAAGCACGAAAATTTTCCAGGACCTCGAAAAACAAAACTTATAAATTTGTTACTCCTGTATAAATATTACTCCTGTCGATGATAAAAACGAGAGTCCAACGAATAAAAACTCATAAATTCGAATCACCGTTTGAAATATCTAAATTATGGTCCCTGTCAGAAAATTTTCAGAAGAAGATAAAAGGGACGGAGGTCCCAGGTCGATACGTGGAGCTAAAAGTAGACCTCCAAGCGGGAGATCCTCATAACCGCGTGGGAATCGTTAGAATAGCGGAGGAACATATATAGACGTTGAATGGGCGTCGGTTTAATTCGATTTACGCCGTGATCTTATTCGAATCGAAACTTCTCTATCTACGTAGCTGCATCAGAATTTATCGGAGATATTTCCGTGATTTTTGTTACCTTTTCAACCGGCCAGTGATCGTATCGATGCATGTAATCGGGGACTACTGTAATTGCTGCGGAATTCGAGATATCCCGAGGCAAATAGCGATTCGACCTAGAAATTCGTAGTCCCGTTATTGTAAAACGTTAAGTCTTTTAATTGCCGCGCTGAAATTAGGTTGGCAATTAAACTCGCGAATTTAATTGCCGCGGAATTATTCGTTAAAGTTTAATAGCCAACAAATTTCAATCCCGGGACTTTTGTTGTATTATTTTTACGTTTCTAAAGCAAACACGAAATTTAGTTGGTAACTTCGCGATTTATTAGTTTGATCGATAACTGCGTATTTGGTGAAATATCGAGCGAATAAATATGCAGAGATATATTTCGCGAATATACTTGAATATACTTGACGATAGTCAATATTCACTGCAACGGTTCGACAAGCATATTGAATTCCAAAATGGCCGTTATGGTCTTTAGCGATTCGACGCACGGGCGCGTGGTCGGCCATTACAATATCTAATGCGCTCCAGGCCCGAAAACCGAATTAATTCTAACCGGATATCGGTCAACTACCGGATATTCCATCGGTAAAACGTACGCTCGCTTAACCGGAAGCTTGAAGAACCGTTTCACGGAAGCGCCGGCTTTGCATCTCCAAATCGTTTTCTATCGCCTTGCATTCCGACTTACGGAAGTTTAACCAAGTGCACGTACAATTAACATTTCTAAAATCGTATAAGAATAAAGCAGATCCTTCTTAACAAACAAATTCAATTGTATCGCTTTGCATTCCGATTTATGGAAGTTTAACCAAGTGCATGTACAATTAATATTTTTAAAATCGTATAAGAATAAAGCAGATCCTTCTTAACAAACAAATTTAATTATATCGTTTTGCATTCCGATTTATGGAAGTTTAACCAAGTGCACGTACAATTATTTCTAAAATCGTATAAGAATAAAACAGATCCTTTCTAACAAACAAATTTAAATTTCCCTATTATCTGAATGTACCAAAGACCTCGTGTAACATTCTTCGCCATCCTTTCAATTTCAGGAAGGTGTTGATTCTTCGCTGAAGATGTGATCCCCGAAGAACTCCCGCGTCGAACCATGAACGACGAAATAATCCTGAGGACCTTAACCGCAGGCAGTAACATTCCATTCGCCGACGAGGATGGGATGCCAGGCGTCGAGCACCGCCGTCGATCAAACCTCGCCCGCAAAGAACCCACGAAAGAGAGCGTCGCGTTGAAGCAACGGAGTCAGCAGAGTTTCGCGAGCTTCCGTTCGATGGTCCAGTCAAAACTCGTGCAGGAGGAAAGCGTGTCCGTGTTGCAGAAGAGTGTGATGCTCGGCCGGAAGGAGTCGCCTCATTACAAACGCGTGAAACAATCGCCGAGGAGGGACAAAAGCGACACGGTGGGAACGGGTTTGGAGGAACCGACCACGCTTCAGCGGTACGAGAATGCCGTGTTGAAGTATCAGAAGCCGAAAACGAGGCCCAGAAGACAGGCCAGTCGGGACCGTCAACAGCAGCAGCAACAACCTAACCACGGCTGCTCGAGCAGCGACGAGAGCGTGGCCAGGAACAAGTCGAAGAGTATCAGCTCGATCGACACGCAGTCGGTGAACAACATCCTGGACGAGTACGAGGATCTGGACTACAGGAGATCGTCGGATCTGAGCGATTCCGGCAGCGTGAACGTGTCGAACTTCGAGGCGGTGATGATGGATCAGCAGAAGAAGCTGCAGCAGGAGAAGTCGCGAGCGACGAGGACGCAGCCGAAGCGGTCGCCGGTTCGAGAGAGATCGCAGCCGGTTCTGAAAGTGAACCAGCAGACCCAAGTGAGGCAGAGGTCCAGGGAGAGGCAGAAAGAAGCCGCGAAACACGTCCCGTTGTCCCAAACCGAGGACAACTCTTCTCGAATTTCGCAGTTGGCTCAGAACGCGGAGGCCGGTCGGGTCAGAGTGCCGGAAGTGTTGCTCCGCAAAGGAGAGGTCCAGAAGAGGGTGGACGAGTGGCTGAGCCAGACGCAGAGCCAGAGTTTCTCGGTGTCTCGCGAGAAACCGTTGATCAGGTCGAACAGCAGCGCGGAGCAGAAGAGTCAGAGGAGGTATCGTCAGGATTCGAGGTCCAGATCGATCGACGAGGGCAGGGACAAGTTGAACGGGACGTCGTCGAGCTACGACGACTTGAGTCGGACGGATAGAAAGCCGGAAGCTCGTAAACTGGAGAAGGTGGTCGGAAACGCGGCTCGGGGGACGTACAAAGAGTATTTAGCTCTGAAGAGTAGAAACAAGCAGCAGGATTACGGTTTCAGCGCGTCGGCGAGCGCGATCGGTCGATCGAGGGACGCCAGTCCATCGACCGGCTCCAGGATACCTCAGAGAGGACCGTTGAGCTCGAGTTTCAGGACGAGGCGACCGGAGAACCCCACCGATGCCGGTCAACCGGACAATAACGTCGTGGAATCGGTACAGCAGCAGGCGGAGAAGAATTGTCGAGTGCGGAGCGTAACCGAGAGCAGATCGACGAATTTGGCGAAGAGCAGGAACGAGTCGGATCACGGCAGGATATCTGGGCTAAGCGCCGCTACCGGTGTTGGCTCCTGTTCGTCTTCGGTTATCCCGTGCAGAAGAACGTCGTTCAAACGGTCGCAGAATCACGATCAAAGCTCGACGAGGCCGCTCGTTAAGGAAGAGACGGGCCAGAGGCCTCGGGGAGGGACGGGTCCGAAGGGCCCGAGCAACCTTGGCGACCAAGGCGAGCCGATCTCGCCAAATAAGGACGGAGAAAGTAGGCGGTCGGCTCTCGCGAACGATTCGCCGCGCGATAAACCAGCCGATGCCTCGTGTAAATCGACGGAAGCGTCGAGGAGCGTCGATCGGACGACGCGGGACGTCCCG